ACATCTTTGAGTTAGTAAGTGGCTAAATCGGCCTTCTCACTAGTAGTCAACCCCATCTTATAGATATTCATGCAGATTTCATTAATGAACTCTTGAGGGCATTCCTCAACTATGGACCATATAAATAAGAAGGATTCGACCTAGAGCAATCCCTCAAACGGGTGGCCATGGTGCTAACTTGTTGGTTTCCTCGGGGTACCACCTCCTAATTAAATTGGGTCGTCATAGCTTGTGCCTGAGTAGTGACGGCTTGTGATTGGATTTTGATGGCTTGTACAATCTTGATAAAATCTTCCCTTATGTCCCCATCCACCATGGGAGGAGGAGCAACCGAAACTTGATCACCCAAAACAACTTCTTCTAGTGGAGGCACTTGGTTGTCCTGTGCTCCCGCGTTAGCAATGGCTTCCTCGACCCTTATTGCAGCTTATCTTCGAGTATACATACCTATAACCACCATTCAAGGTTTAGGTGAAAGCAAACATAAAGTTGACCCTAGAGGCACGAGTTAGGATTACAAGGAAATGAGAGTTTCCTAAGCATCACATAGTTCCTCAGTCATAAGTGTGGCGCACTTCATAATTATGAAGACTAATCTACATAGACGTGGTTTACTGAGACATCAATCTTAAAGGTATTCAACCTCATGCTCTGATACCAAGTTTATCACATCCGGGGAGCACCCCTAACGTAACCGGCGTCGGCTTCCTCTTTGAGGACTAAGACTAGCATTTTAGCATAAATCATTGCATTCATAGGTTAAAAATGCCGAATATTTAAAATATTTTATTCTACATTGAGGTTTACATAGACCTTTACATAGACATAGTATATTCATATTGAGTATATATAGACCCTTTGTATAAGAAGATTACATAATTTTCTACTTTTATTTCAAATACATGGTATAAGATAGTCTCATAAGAAGTCTAGAACATTTTTTCATATAAACCATCTAGATAAGTGTATCACAATTTGGGTATAGCCCTTACATAAACAATTATAGTCACATATAGGCTTTACAATTATCATACCAAAATGAATGAGAATAAACAAAGTTATCTTTAAGACTAAACAACATCCAATAGGTAGACAATCGCATCGTCCTCGGAAAGTAAGGACCTACCGAACATGGAAGATAAGAATAAAAGTAGTCTTCAAAGCGTTCTCTAATATCAACGGTTAGATCCTCCATTTGTGGTAAACATCAAACATGGGTTAGTACACACTTGTACTATGTATGGGTAGATGCACATAAAATAAGTGAAATAAAGCTAAAGAGGACATTTGATCAAACCATGCTAAAGTACTTTGAGAAGCCTTATGACAATTAAGAACCCATATAAGCCAATAATCAAATAGTCCATAAATCAAAACCATGTACGACACATTACCAACATCAACAAGTAATAGTCAAGTCAGCATGTACAAAAGTTCATAAAATCATAATATAGGCAAAACCATTACTCATAACCCACAATTCAGCCTACAAGTGCAATGACCAAGCAAAGCCCCATAACATTAGTTAATCAAGTAAGCCAAACAAAGGATCACAAATAACTCCTATCCTAACATAACATGGCATCAATAATAACCATCATAATATTTAGTAAAATAAACCAATAGCATGTTCATGAATGCAACTAACCTCATATAGGATCATCAACATGTACAATCAACATCTTCATAGAATATACATTATAAGAACACAAGAACAACCTCCTAAGGATTCCCTCAAGGCAAACTAGTGCAAGCTATAGGTAGAGTCCCATACCCCTACCTAAGTTAAGTCAAACCTCTCAAGTTACCCTAGTTAGTGCATAGTCCATTTCTTCATTTTACTTTTGGCAACACTTGCCTTAAACGACATAGACCACAAGAGCTAAGTTGGAATTTGGTGTTTTAAAACCTTACACCGATGGAAGTGGTCTACTGGCTAATGTAGAGACAAACATAAACATAGATTTTTAGGTGGATCCACTAGCTAGTCTTGATATGGTGGCAACATAGTTCTAGAACTAGGAGATATGTATTGAACCCTCTCTATGCCTATGGCATTGGAGCCTCATCTCATGGGAATCCATTGGGTAATTATCCCTCATAGGGGAGTTAACACCTCATATGGAACTATAGGGTGAATCTTCCTCTATGGGAAGTCAATACCTCCCATTGTCAAGTTCAGTCGGTGAAAAGCTAAGTCCCTTTTGAAATGTCTTTTTTTAAAAACAATCATCACTTAGTTTAGGTCATAGGTTCCATCCTTTGTATAATCATAGTCATTTAGATCAATAGATATTACATGAGAATATCCTCTCATGGCAAACCTCAACAGTGAGATTAGCATATCATCATCATCATTTCATAACAAGGCACAGAGGAAAGTCATCACAAACCTTATATCATTTCATCTTAATCATAATCTCACAATAACAAAGTCAAGACATTTCAATTCAACATCATACCAACACCTATATAGGCTATTCACAAGGTATACTTCAATTGAACTACATCACCAATCACATGCCATCATACTTTAAGTAATGATTATCATCTTCAAGACTTACCAAAACTCCTTCAAAATCCATCATGATGGTATTATCATAAACCAACCTATTATATCCAATAATAGGTGTAGAAATATCAAACCATAGTAATTAACACATAAAGTAGGTCAATTGCATCATCATTATCCCAAATTAACATAAATTCATAACCTAGGGTTAGGGGAATTAGGTATCATCATGAATTTATGCAGAAATAGATTGAATCCAAACATACATAACCAAAGTCAATTCATACATGAATTAGAATAGATAAAACAAGTCTAATAATTAAATCATTCTTCAGTTACCATCAATTTAGACCAAGATCTTATATTTGGGGAAATTGGGGTAGGGAACATGATCAATATTAAATTTAATAAATTAACATAAATTAATCAACAATCTGTACTCAATTAGTAATAGGAAATCACAATTTATCATCAATTTGAAGTTTAGAATAAACCCAATAGAATTGGAAAATCCAATGGTATTGGGTATCTTCAAAATCAACTTTGAGAGGACCTCTTGGGTTAAAGGAATCCCAATAGTGAAAAACCCATACCTTATTGAAGATCAATCCACGAAATTAAAGTGAAATCCTAGAAATTTACCTTCTTCTTCAAGTTTTATTCCTTATTCACTGGAGGAATTGGTCAGAGAGAGAGTAGAGAGAGGTGAGAGCTTTTGGATTTTTTTTGGTAATTGAGTTTGGGTGAGTGAAAATGACTCTAAAATGACCCTTACGCTATAGTAAATAACCTACTAAATTTTCCAAAACACCACTCACTTAAATGTGTCATTTTGTGAAGTTAAAATGTCAAAAATACGATTTAACCGGATCCGGGAAGGGCTCTGTGTCATGGGGAGAACACGCATTTGATTTCACAAAAATAATTTGAGGCAATGAGGTCCGTGTGGGCTGCACGTCGCACAGTAGCCCACTGATTCTTAAATTTCGCAGACTTCTTAGGCAGGCTGCCCACCCATGTTGGGTCCTACTCCATGGCCCTTGGGGTGGTCCGTGGGGCATCTATATTGATTGTTTAGACCCTATATACTACATTCTACCTAATCAAAGTCTTTTTAAAAGTTTTAGACTTCATTTGAACCTCTAAACCCATCCCCAAACCTAGCGATGTCAATTTATTCAACTAAGCTAGTTTCCTGACGTTATGGACGTTCTTTGACATCTTGGCTCTAGAACTTCTTGGATGACTTATATACATTATTTTAGGTCTTAAAAAGTATTTAAACCTTTAAACACTCATGTTAGGATCTATACTAGGTCTTGACTTTTCAGAGTGTTACATGCTCTAATATGCTACTACAGATGTTGACTTGACTTTACTTGAGAATGTTGGTCTTGTATTGTTTATAGTCTTGTCTTGATGAGTATTTGTCGATTGGTTCATATATGCTCTTAAAAATTCCTAACGACTTTTAAAATTAAATTAGCATGGTTTTGAATATATGTCCCTTTAAGTATGGTTTCAATGTTTTATGTGGATATGTTTCCATGCGTAGTTAAAGTGGAGTACTAACCCATATCGCTAAGTTTTCTACAAATATGTAGGTTCCGTCCATTGAATTCCTAGAAGGCCAATTGAAGAAAACTTGGAGTCTTTTCTCCAAGTGTTAGTAGGTCCTTATGTTCGAGGATGTTACCTATTTCTACATTCTAGATTTGAAGTTTTATCGTCATAAAGACATTGTTCTTTCCTTTATAATTTGGATATTGATATAAGAATATATTGGCATGTTGATTTTGCATTGTCTATGTCCAAGATATTTACTCGCTTTAGATGGTTCAATATGAGAAGTAGTATTAGACTAATTCTTATGTACTTTTCCCACTACAAGAAAAACATCCTGTAAGGAATGAAAATATAGTCCCTCATGATCTAAACCTGGTCCCAAATGTAAATTTGAGACCAAAAAATGTTGTTCCCCACCCGCCGCAACCGCCTTCGTCACTATAGATCTTCTGCAACAAAAACGAAATATTTGTCCTTAAATGGTTGTTGAGACGAGAAAAAATATAGTCGTTAAATCTTTTTTGAGATTACATATCTAGTATCAAATAGACTTGGAAAAATCTATTGTTAGGTCGTTAAATCTTTATAGGGACCATGAACACCTGGTCATAGTAATTGTTATAGACGAGAACAACCTGTTCTATGATTAGCTTTTGCGACGATATTATCATGGTCATTGAATAGTTTTAGAGATGAGGATTACCTGGTCCTTGATTATGTATAGAGACAAGATTGATCTGTTCCTTTATTCATTATAGAAAACAAGAAATATTTCTAGGTGTAGATTATTCAGTAGAGACGAGATACACTTCTAGGCCTAGATTATTCTTTAGAGACGAGATATTTCTTGTCCTAGATTGTCCTTCAATGGTCCTAGATTAATAGATGTGACAATAAAATATATTCTTCAACAAATACTAAATCTGTACTAAAACTTCCGATTCACTAAGAATATAATAGGAGACAGAAACAAGTTGATACAGATTAAGAGTTCGATTAATCAAAAATTGGTCCACGTGCTATGATGTTTGTTTCATTGCGTTTTTTTAAAAAAACTTAGCCAACATCTGAGTTAGACTATATACTATCAAGTTTTTCATAATGTTCTTAGTAAACTAATAACAAGCTTGGTCCATTTCTTCTAAAGCTTGTTTCTTAACTTGACACTTCTACCTTCAAAATCTGCAAGTTCAAAATTTTTAAAAAAGATAAATAACTATTGGTATACATATCAAATTTATACAAGAATTAAATAGATCGCTTACCCAAAAAGTTGTTAGAACTTCACCAGGTGTTATCTAGAGATATCTACAAAAGCTGCGGACCATAAGAAAAATCAATTAGAAAATTATTGAGATACATTTAAACAGAATACAAATACTATTTCTGTGGAGAAAATTTAACATTAAAGCAGCTGTCCAAAAATAGTGCAGTGCTGAATTTAACAAATAGAGAAAATAATTTATGTGCAGTTGTGCAGAAAATTTTAATTAATGAAGTAAGAAATAGCATTTCTAGATGAAGGTCTTTCTAGTTTAAAGTACACTTATGTGTAGTTGTGAAGAAAATTATTGAATCTTAGTCACTTATTCTCGGAGAGAAATCAAACTGAGACCCATGACTAGATGAAGCTCTTTCTACTTTTGAGTACAATGCTACATCTAATCTTATATAATAATCAAGCAAAAGATGCAAATTCCATCAGCAGCCAAATATGCCTAATCGATGAAGTACACAATCAGCAATAGCCAAAAACAATATATAAACAAAGATGACATAAATGAGAGTTCCCACATGAACAAGCATGGCACTCACACCAATCCATTCTAGTGGTTGAAATAGGAACTTAGAGTTCAAAATGTCAACCAAAATGAAGAAAAACCAGAATACTCTAACGAGGGTGCTCCTATGGTTACACATCATATGTGAAGTGGAGAGTAATTCCTAAAACTAAAAGAGCTATGCCCATGGTAATTCAATGCAAAAGTCAGGACTAGTGATCTTTCATATGAATAAGGACATGTAAAAAATGAGCTCCAAGCACCATAGAGAAAATGATAGAAATTGAGCTCAAATCTAAGTGTAACTTTGGCAACTTTTTTTCCAGCTGCGTAAACACATAGATTGATGCATTTCACACAAATAGACAAAGAATTGAAGTATCAGCTTCGGGGAATCTAAAACATCAAACCAATTTCACAGCTTCAAAACCAAATATTATACAATTAGGAACTATGGCCAAAAATACTTGTGAAGAATCCCAGACAGCAGTATACAAACAAGTCAGCTATCCAACATTGAATCTTCGGTCATAACATCAAGCTACTAAACAATACATACATTCTGGAAACATATAGCAACTAGCGGACATGAAATCAGTTTCTACTTTCTAAGGGTTGTATCTATACTTGTGTTTGATAGAGATTAGCTAGTTCTATTTAAGCTCGTAGACAATGAGAACAAGAAAACTAGTACAGATGAAGGTGGATTCAACAATTCTTGGTACTATCTTCTAGCGGGAAAAGACTAGATACCATCACTTTTTTCTAGAATTAGTCATAGAAGCAATGACTATATGCAAATCAACAAAATAAACTAAAAAGTCTAGTATCATGGTGCTTACTTGGTCATTAGAAAAAAAATAGTGGTCATTCAGTTGAAACGGGAGATGTTTTAGGTTGGACATGTGATTGTTGAGTTGCAAATAATTACTTCATTTTCATTATTTCTTTCATTGCATCTTCCAAGGTAGACACGCGATGGTTCAAAGATTTGTTTCCTCATTCAAAGATTTATTTTCTTCATTCAAGTATTTGTTATCCTCTCGAGTGAACATAGCTCAGACAATTATTCAAGTTCCGTCTTTCAAGTCTTTCGCCTTTACACTACAACCAAAGCCAAATATATGGCTACGAGTTTGAGGTCCACAACATTTTTCAACAATCTCTATGCTAGGTAGAGATTGATCGGCTTGAACCATTTCTTTGAGTTGTTCCTAAAAGTTATATAAAAAAAATTTCTATCCGAACACAACAATTTCAACTAATAAATTTATTTAATTTATCTAACGCACATGCTTTTCCATTGCTTCAATTTCAACAAGCTAGTTATCTTTCTTACGCATCTCAAAGAAAATAGTCTCCAAATCGGTGAGTTTCCATCTTTCCCACCCTTTACATCAAAGTCAAACATGTAAATTAACACAAACCTCATAAATATTTCATTTATGAAATAGTTTTACGCTGGTACCTTTGGAAAAATAATCTCTCGAATAGTCTTACTACCAATATGATGAAGCATCTTCAACTTAGCTCGATTTGCTGTATTCCTGGTGCTTCTTGCCTAAATAAAAATTTTCTTGCCTAAATAAAAATTTGTCTTAGTTTGTAGCTTTTATTATGTTTGAATAGAAATAAACTAGAAGATTTTCCAAAAGAAACTAATGCAATATATACTCATGTTCGCCATATACAAGAGTATGAGTTCTTTGTCAAGTCCAACTAGAAATCCATCATAATGAGAATTCAGTTATCCTTCAATGTTGCTGTTGCAACAATGCTGTCCTTACTACTTTGATCTTAAGAACTGACAGCAAAATTCTCCCAGATATATACAACACTCATTGATACAAACAGAGAAATATATTGAGAATACCAAAGAATGTTTTCTTTTTAAAAAAAGCAACTTCTTAAAATGTCTTCTCAACAACACTAATCTTGAGAATAGTATTTACATCATCATGGACTATATATGACGTGCACTTCAGTAATTAATGGAAGGATATAAATGGATGTTCAATAATAAGAAAGTTATAGATGTGAAAGTGTTGCAGCAATTTTTGAGCTAGACAGGAATCTTACTAAGCAGTTCTGTGTGTTTGAAGCTGCTCCTTAGGTATGAACATATATTCCTACTTATTTCTAGTTTGTCATTTTTGGTGAATGAGGAATATGTTATTAATTTATTAACATGCTATTTTCACTCGTAATGGTTAAACATTTATTAACATTACGAAATGCAAGGCACTCAAAAGTTGCAAGGTACAGGGCATAGAAACTTTGTAACTTTACAAATAGAATTCTTCCTATTATAAAAATGAAACGACGGGAAAAGAAAAGAAAAACTCATGATTCACTGTACCAAGAATGGGAAGTGGTCAGCTCCAGAGATCGAGTGACTCATGGAGCAGTGTATACCAAGCGGATATAGATCCAAAAACAATTTCTAGTAGACCATGGCTACTTTTTCAGTTAAGGAATTAGAATATATACTTCCAAATTACAATAACTGATGTAAATATTATTTTTGATAATAAGATGGAAAGTATTTGATGTTTCAAATTTTAATATCCTACTTAACATTGTACTTGACAAGTCTGTACAAGATATTGTTAACTGAAAAGATGGAATACATTTGATGATCAATAAAAGAGTGCTTTTACCATGAATCAACAAAGATAAAGGGACTGAGGCAACTCACGAAAGTAGAAAATAGTACTTTCGAGTTCAAACAGTTTTCAATACTTTCACTGTGTTCCACTCTATTGGTGCTGGGGCACTTTTTTGTTAGAGAGGCTAAATAAAGAAGCAACATATCAGTTGCTGGAAAGGCTAAATTGTTCCCTTTTTTTGTTTTAAACCCGTCTCTTTTGAGGCAATAAGTTGCTCATTTAAATGATCAGATATGTTTCTTTTCTAGATTGTTTAGAAGTTGGCATACACTTATTTAGTCAAGTAAGTTTGATCTTTAATTCAATCCATCTAATGTGTTCATCATTTATTAAAGAAAGTCAATAACTACATTATAGTAGATTACCCAGCAGTTCATCATCTTTTCACGATCATTAGTGTAGGAGTCAAATGGCAAATGTATGACGCAAGTGTTAAAGTTTGTTTCCTGCTAACATATTGACATAACAACCATGAATAACGAAAATGAGCAAACTGAAGAAAATTAGAGAAGAACACCATATGCAAATCAACATATTTAGATTTATTTCTCAGCATATTGAAGGTTTTCTTTGAGATATTTATTAGCTTTTAACTCACGCTTTCTTTATTGTCACTCTTTTATAATTATTTTCTTCGACAATATGAATAGTTGACGACTTGATGTGATTTTTTTAAGCCAGCAGTTTCTTGTTGACTGGACATGACATAAATGACAATTCAAATTGACTTATTTGTTGATCTCTATCTTTAGTTAATTGCTAAAATACTCCAAAGTCAAGTAAATAGTGATGTTAACTGTTGTGTAGATTAACGACCTGTAGCACATTAATAAAAGATGACAATTCCTTAACTCGATTAGACTCCAATACAAAGAATCTTCATGTTGTACAGTCAAAAACTAATTCATCAAGACTCATATACCCATTTATACATGGATAGTTTTTGTCCATTAAAGAATAGAAACCATGAAGGAGAGAAGGGGAGAAGAAGAGAAGAAAGAAGAAGAAGAACATGGGAGGACATTGCGAAGAAGATGACCTATGTTGCTTGTATAAGAAAACCTCTTAGGATAAGGGACGAAGTTCACAATTCATTTTACTGAAAATACTGTATGCTCTATATGATCAGATTATCACTTAGATCAAACATGTTAAGACTCAAGCATGATTCATTGGTTAAGACAATCAGTGTAATGACAAAAATAACTATTTACTTCTCAATCGTTGAAATAAAGCTTAGTGATATCTTATTTAATTAAATGGTTAAAGACTTCAAATACAATTGAATCAGTGATGTTAATATATTTGCTGATTCACAACCCGTAAAACATTAATGAAAGAAAGTGACTACTTACTTTGTAGCATATACAAAATAATAAAGAAAGTGACTACTTACTTTGTAGCATATACAAAATAATCACGTCTATTATTACAAGTCGATCAAGACTCTATTGTAAAGAATCTTTGTATTGTATGATCAAAATCTAATCAAATAAGAATCATATATTCCTTCAATACAAGGGACTTTCGTGTCCATTGAACAAGAGATTCATGAAACAGAGAGGAAAAGAGGAAGGTGTCCTCGTATTTATTTTTCTAAAAGGTACTTTCTATTATGGGTATGTGATTCTATGAACACATATACTACAAACGTGAATAAACTTAAAAACAATTAAACTTTAGAATCCGGACTCAATAATATAAAACAAAATGATAGGGCAAAGTTGAGCGGCAGATTAGTAAAGCTTAAGAAGAAGAAGAAACATCATACTCACAATTCGTAGTTGAGAGAGGGAAACAAAGAAGTTTCTGTTCCGAATATTTACAGAGGATTTGAGGCAGATCCTAATAATCGTAGGTAGATAGATGTTGATTAAAAAAAGATGCTCTTGTTTAGTTGAGCAAAAGATCAGTAAACATAAAGAAGAAAAAGAAAAGGCAACATACCTTACATTCGAAGTTGTGAAAAGGAAATAAATATTTTGTTGCTGAGGATACGTAGAGAGGATTTGTGGCAGAGCTAAATAACACTAGGTCGCTGTTAATCAAGATGAAAAGGAGACAATTTTGTTGAGTTGAGAGTGAATGTTCATCAGTAAACAGGAAGAAGAAGAGACACCACACAATAGATTAACAGTTCAGAATGTTGCTGCTGAGAATACCATAAGAGGAATTGAGGCAGAGGTGAATAGCCCTGGTAAGGCAAAGTTGTGACCAATGGATTTTGAGATAAAAAAAATTTCCGCCTACTTTTCAGAGTTATTATTTTTTGGGTTTTTGTAAATTTTTTATCAATTTTTGGCGCTCCCACTATGTATTTCAAATATAATTGGAACGAGTCATTAGTTTTCTTAGGGACGAGATTTTTTACCTTCTCAATAACATGTACCTTTTAGGATCAAGATATAATTTTGTCTCAATATGTATAATTTTTGGGACGAGATTATTACCCCGTCCCTACATGTTGGTCTTAACAGAACCTTTTTCTTGTAGTGTCTGTTGTCGAATTGAGAAGCCTATGCATGTTTCATATGTGAGGATTCTATGTGAACTCCACATGTAGTATGCGAGAGGTCTATGTAAACCTCCCTATATAGCTATATACGAAAAGTTTTAATTTTTTTGCACTTTTTAGCCTATTAAATGTAATGATGAATGCTAAGACGCTAGTATTAGTCCTTGTTACGTCTAGGGGGTGCTCCCCCATTCGTGATAGATTTGAAGTAGATAAAGCAACATTGGTAGGAGAAGATTCAATTTACTATGCTATGGAGAAAGAGAAACTCATTAGAGATAGACTTAAGACAACCCAGAATCACCAAAAGTTTTATGCATATGCAAGGACAAGGAAACTAAAGTTCCAAGTTGATGATTAGGTGTTCTTCAAAATGTCACCTATGAAAGGGGTGATAATATTTGGAAAGAAAGGGATGTTGAGTCGTTGATAAGTAGGCCCTCAATTGATTTTGGAAAGGGTTTTTAATGTGGTTTATAAAATAAAGTTGCCAGCAGAATAATTTGTAGTGCATTATGTTTTCCGCAATTTACTATTGAAGAACTATATTTGTGATCCAACATCTTTAGTGACATTAGAGAGTTTGGCTATCAAAAATTTTATTTTCTATGAGGACGTACCACTAAGATTCACTATTGTCAGGTTAGATAGTTGAGAAACAAAGAAGTTGCTTCAGTCAAGGTTTTGTGGAGGAGCCAGTCTATAGAAGGAGCTACTTGGAAGAAGAAGCAGACATGAAGTCCAAGTGTTCTCATCTACTTGCTTCCGATCACACTCCGTCATGAGGAATTATTTCCTCTTATATTTTGAAGTCATTCATGCGAGAATTTAGCCTTACTATCATGTTTCTTCAATTTGTACATGCATTTTTAGCGTATTTGAATGTTCTTGAAACTTTGTTTCAGTGAAAAATCATCCATCCGTGTTTAGTGGTTGGGTTGAGTTTTCGTTCGAGGATGAATGATCTCAAGGGGGAGATATTGTATATAACGTCCCTAAAATAAAATAAGTGAAACTAGAGCTTCCATCTGTATCATGAGTTAATTATGTATAAAAATGGATAACAATGATGTTTTGAGGCAGTGTCTAAGTTTTGGTGATGTTTGGAGGTTTAACATCCATGACATTAAAAAGATGTGCCTTGGAATATGCTTGTGTGTCCTTGTATGTTCTTGCAAGTTTTATGTGTTTGTTTTAGTTAAAAATGATGTGAGGGGACACTAGGACCTATATTAAAAAGTATATGAGTTTAACTTCTAGTTTTTACTCCACCTAGGACTACAAGTGATCCTAGAAGAGGACCCAAGACTTGGAAAACTGCCAAAATTGCCTCAATCGACGCCCCTTACCGACGAATCGTACGCTGAATGACGACCCTTTGTTGAGGGCATAGATCCACCTTTAGTGGTTGGAGATCAACCCTAATGTGAAAAGCCTCTGAACCAATCGACTCACTAGCAGTACGGGCCATCGTTAACTAACGCCCCATATCTAGGGGTCCGTCGATGGTCAATGTAAAGCTGCAGGAAATTCTTCCAAGGCTTGGGGTTTTTTGGTAAATTCACACCATGCATTTGGTAAACCATGGATGATTATTTTAGGATCATTAGGGTATTTTAAGTTGTTTGAAAGTCCTATACCTAGACAAGACTTTATTTTCAAATATTCGAAACCCTCCCTCAAGAAAGAACTCTCTCAAACTCCATAGAAGCTAAAACTCAAGGAAATGCAAAAGGTGAACGTTTTTGACGTTTTCTTCATAAAAATTGCGTGGTTTATTCTCATTGAGTTATGGTAGTTCATACTTGAACTTTATTTCATTCAATTAGTCACTTCAAAGAGATTTCAAAAATGGTTTTAAACCCCAACTTCTCCTATCTTTGACTCTAAGCATGGGTCTTTTCATGAAAACCTTTTAAGGATTCAAATAGGTTTTTAGTGTTAGTTTGTGATTTTAATGTTAAAACTTCAATGAAACCATTCTTATGCATATTCCAACTTTTATCTCATGATATCAGTTTATTAAACATGATTCGTGTTTGAACTATATGGTGTTCATTATTGTTATATTGTAATTAGCTATTGACTTACGGGCTATTTATGATGAATTATTGGAGAAAATGAGAAAGGATAGAAAAAGCTTGGTTTAATATTTTTAAAACATCACAAACGAATATTTATACTTTTGCTCCCCCTTAAGTTTAGAGCACCTTATTCAAGACATAGAATAATTTTCAGTCTTTTCTTCTTTTTGGTTATCTATGTTTTACACACAAGTGCAATAATTCATTGTAGTCCATAAGTACAATGAATCAAGTAAGTAAACCAAGAGACTAAGGAAATGATTAAACTACAATTTAGGGCATGAATTCTTTGTAAGCAAATCTTTATTTGTTAAGCCTATTATTTGATATTGGCCTAATAAAAGAAGTCATTATAAGCCACTCTTTTTTGGCTATGATCATTTGTCAATTATATAAACTCATTATAAGCCAATCTCATTTGGATTTGATCATTTTGATATTATGAGATGTCATTTCTATGCCCTAGTGTTATAGAAAACATCATTCTTACCAAACATTGATATTCTTAAACACTTGCTTTCTTAGTTCACTTTGAACTTACATCTCTTCTTCCTTCTTACTTTCTTAAAGAAATCCTTAGCATTTAAGATCATGTGAAGTGACGTGAAATCTACTGTCTGCCCCACACCTAAAAGGAGTGGTTCGCTAATCAAAGTGAACCTACATCATGTGAGTTAACATGAAATCCAGTGTCTGCCCCACACCGACAAAGGGTGATTCACCGGGTAAAGTGAATCCATGTCCAGTGTCTACCCCACACCGTAAAGGGGTGGTCCACGACTAAAGTGAACCAAGGAAAATTATTTTGATCATTAACCGACTTAAATTATGAGATCTAAACATAAAATGCGATGTCTTCCCCACACCAAAAAGTGGTGGAATCACCGGACAAAGTGAAACTGAAACTACCTAGCTCTCTTAGGTTGAATCCACTAGCTAGTTCCATGTTGGCTAAACATAGTTCAATGACTAGAAGATTTTCGAAGACTCTTATCCAGCGTGGTTTAGACTCATATCAGGAGACTTACATGTGCTAGCACAAGCTTATTGCTAGTGTATCAGTGCTTTGCTCACTTTCTTTTACTTCATTACTTTTAGAGTTGAATCAGACATTCTGGAAGCTTTCTTATTCTACAGATAACTTATTATCCCTTTCTTTACTTAATAAAAATGTGAATTCAACCTTACATTATCATCTTGGTGTTAATGAGACTTATCTCACACTTTCTAACACCCTCTTATGTGAGTATCTTTAACATAGTTGTCTTAAGGTGTAAGTGAGACTTGTCTCACTTCTTTTAACACCCCATTCTGGTAATTTTCATAACTTTTAAACTTGTAGTTATATTAACACTCACCTTACTTATTCACGTTCAATTGGTATCTTATTACCATTACTTATGGACGTTGTGAACTTCATTCATGTAGTACTTGTATTCGTAGTTCATTTTGTTAGACTATGTTGGGAATTGTCCCAGTTATTGACATACTCTTGTTTATGGATTCATTGAATTACCTTAGGTGTGCTTAGTTATTCGTCATTTCAATACATTCGCCATATAACATTGGTAATAATTAGTATTGGCCTAAACAATGTGGACTAGCCAATTTATTTTCACAAGCCAACCATTCATGCAACATTTTTCATGAGATTATAATTAGCAAATTTTGTATCATAGTTGGGAAACCATTATTAGCCAAATCATTTAACTTCATGTGCATACTTTACTGAACTCATTATTTCAAGCAAGGCAACATTTAACAGTAAGTATACACCAAAAACAAAACATAGCAAAACTTAACATTCTCGGACACAAATTAACGTTTCATCCTTGTATGTTTTGTGTAAATGGTATTTAAATCATATAGATCGAATCTATATGATTTCTTTGACAATCACAAATCAAGAACCCTACAGATTAGGATCAGATAGCACCGCATACCAACAACAGGTTTGAGATTATATCTACATACTTGATAGAATTTTAATACAAGGGTAACAAGGGAGAAGGACGTTCAACAATATCGTTGGGAAGCAACCCAAGTTTCGAGATTCATAGATTCCAAGCGATTGAAAATACTCTTGGAGAAAGAATTCCAAGAGATAAAACCATACCTTATGTAGAATTGAATCTACGACAATCCCTCTGCACGAAATCCTTGAAGAGAACTTTGAAATTGCCTAAGAGAGACTTTATCGTTCTACATTCTTGCGGTTTCTACTTACTGCCTTAGCGTCGTGACTCTCTAATTTTTGGACGTGGTCTTTAGGTCTTAGGAACTGATGTTGAATCATTCAACTTTAGATTAATTAACTTAATTAATAAATTAATTAGGTAATTATTAAAACGCCCCTCCTAAGTTGACTAGACATACGAGGACCATTGACTAGCCAAATCCGAAATTTGCTAAGGGTTTCTGCGACCAAGGCTATTATTTAATTAATTTATTGCTTACTTAATTAATAAAGGGACATAGGGAAATTACTAAATACCCCTAAGTCACTAGGACAACAACTAACTCCATTGGACATAGGTTGTCCCTAAGTTAGTTAACTTAGTTAGGTGTCACCCGATTAGGTCTTACATTTTCGGGTCCCATGGATGGTCATTGTTATTGATCCTAGGTTAGCTACCTAGTTTGTTAGGTTAGTTAGA